GCTATTTGGAGTAAATCCTCCTCAGATACTAGTTCCGCAACTACCCTAGAAATAACGTCACTTACATTAGGCAAATTCTCAAAAAGGTGTCGACTCTACCTCTTGTACTATGCCGAGAAATTCGTCCAGGAAGTTGTCCGACATTGACTACAATTTTGTTATTTGCTTCGGCACGTCATATATCACTTCGTCTTTAGATTCAAAATCAAGCCCTGAAAAAGTAACGGACTTTACATTCCCACCTGAGGCATTACTCCCTGTCGGCTGGATATGCTCGTAGTGTGCCGTAATAACAGCCGATCTAGTTCCGATCTTTGTAAAAAGTTCTGATTTAATCTCGGTTACGCTCGTTGTTCCTAACCCCGAATTCGGCGGCCGACCAAACGACCTCTTTTCCATAAAAGTTTTTGATTCACTTTTTGAGCTTTTGTTCCCCAGCTTAGCAACTTACTACCTGTCGCCTGTAAACCTGGGCAACCCACGCGGCATTACCCTTACAATATGACCAAACCGAATCAGCCTTGGATCTTATCAACACCTTTCCAGAAATTTTCCTTACATCTACCTTTTTACGGGTACAACCAAAGCTTGATCTTACCCAACGGCTATTAGCAATTATACCATCCAAAGTTAACACCCAATAATAAAATCCCGAAGGTAATTTTACTCCCACCCAAAGGTCAATTTTTACGTCCTGTCCAATGTACTTATAAAAATACTCCCTTTGAACTGACTCTAAATGCACCAAGAGTGTAGGGGGAACCCCTGTTCTTAACAAATTTCTCGATACAGACTGACTAACACTCATTGACAATCATAATACTTAATTTAATATAAAAGACCAAAGAACATTGCTTAATAATACTGCTTTGATATCTGGAAATCAAATACTAATCCACCACTTCTGACACCAATTGTTATGCCTGACCAGCATGGTTAACTAAGTTAATAGGATAAAACCAAAGAAGAAATAAAACGTTAAAGTTTCACACAAGTTTAATTTTACATTTTAAATTGAATCAAGAAATTTACACTCAAGTAAGTTCATATGCTTAAATTAGATACGCAAGTTCATCTCTAAAAGGATTAATTATTATTTAATTTCCAGAATCTTAAATACTAACATAGAAATACTACATGATAGAGAATACCTAAGTGAACCAGAAAGTGAGAGAGAGACTAGAGGGGGGAGGAATTACTTACTAGTTCGAAAGTTGATGATGGAATGATTGTCTAAAAATTATAAAAAGAGTTCTGTGACAGTTATCCCCTCTACTGTTACTTATTAATTGTATTTACCATATATGGAGTATCCTTGAAAAGGAAAGCTCTCATTGGTTGTGGGTTTGCAGGACAGTGGGGGACATCGTCACAGGAAGTACACTTCCTCGAGACGAGCGCGTGTCAGCTGATAAAATGTTTGTACAACTTTCAATAAATTTTGAAAATTAATAAAAGATTTATTTTGACTTATTATTGTTCCCTTAGACTGAATTTAATAAATATACATTGCTTAATAAATATACATTGCTCGTCATCACACATTTATATACCAATCGTTAGTTCTTCGTTAGTTCTCGATAGTTCTCCAATATTAACGTTAGTTCTCCAAAAATAAAAAAAGTTACGAGGCATACAAAGTGGGTACGCCAACTTCACAATTATAGAATTTCCAGCGGGCACACTTTTTTGAATAAAAATGCTTATATCTATATACCAATCGTGTGCTCTTCGTTAGTTCTCGATAGTTCTCCAATATTAACGTTAGTTTTCAAAAAATAAAAAAGTTACGAGGCATACAAAGTGGGTACGCCAACTTCACAATTATAGAATTTCCAGCGGGCACACTTTTTTGAATAAAAATGCTTATATCTATATACCAATCGTTAGCTCTTCGTTAGTTCTCGATAGTTCTCCAATATTAACGTTCGTTCTAAAAAAATAAAAAAGTTACGAGGCATACAAAGTGGGTACGTAAACTTTACAATCATACAATTTCCAGCGGGCACAGTTTTCTGACTATAAATGCTTATATCTATATATACAAGTGTCTACACACATGTGTTGTTTTCCCACCAACTGTTAGTTTCGAGAATGGCAAAAATATTCCTTCACTTTGATGTGTGCAAAAATACCGGCAATGAACGGAAAACTCGAGCACGAGCATTTGCTGTCATACTACTCGCGATTCGGCGAGTTGCTGTTCTCGTTCTGTACTTTGCGTTGGTACAGTCTGGAGCCGGCTAAAGGCATGGAACTTGAATAAAATCCCCTTTTTTCAAATCATTAAACTAAATTTCAATTAATATTTTATTATAATTAATTTATCATAAGATAACAATATTTATTCTCGGTATATATTAATAACCTAACACTTTTAATTTTGAACGTATTTTGAAACTGTTTAAGAACGATGCTGTGAATGTTTGAAAGAATAGTTGAGGGTACGTTTTTGAGAAAAATCGAGAACTAACGAAGAACTAACGATTGGTATATAGATATAAGCATTTATAGTCAGAAAACTGTGCCCGCTGGAAATTGTATGATTGTGAAGTTTGCGTACCCACTTTGTATGACTCGTAACTTTTTTTTATTTTTGAGAACTAACGTAAATATTGAAAAACTATCGAAAACTAACAAAGAACTAACGATTGGTATATAAATATAGACCTAAGCATTTTTATTCAAAAAAACTGTGTCCGCTGGAAATTGTATAACTGTGAAGTTAGCGTACCCACTTTGTATGCCTCGTAACTTTTTTATTTTTTGATAACTAACGTTAATATTGGAGAACTATCGAGGACTAACGAAGAACTAACGATTGGTATATAGATATAAACACTTTTAGTCAGAAAACGGTGCCCGCTGGAAATTCTATAATTGTGAAGTTGGCGTACCCACTTTGTATGCCTCGTAACTTATTTATTTTTTGAGAACTAACGTTAATATTGGAGAACTATCGAGAACTAACGAAGAACTAACGATTGGTATATAGATGTAAGCATTTTTATTCAAAAAAGTGTGCCCGCTGGAAATTCTATAATTGTGAAGTTGGCATACCCACTTTGTATGCCTCGTAACTTTTTTATTTTTGGAGAACTAACGTTAATATTGGAGAACTATCGAGAACTAACGAAGAACTAACGATTGGTAATGTAAGCATTTTTATTCAAAAAAGTGTGCCCGCTGGAAATTCTATGATTGTGAAGTTGGCGTACCCACTTTGTATGCCTCGTAACTTTTTTATTTTTTGAGAACTAACGTTAATATTGGAGAACTATCGAGAACTAACGAAGAGCACACGATTGGTATATAGATATAAGCATTTTTATTCAAAAAAGTGTGCCCGCTGGAAATTCTATAATTGTGAAGTTGGCGTACCCACTTTGTATGCCTCGTAACTTTTTTATTTTTTGAGAACTAACGTTAATATTGGAGAACTATCGAGAACTAACGAAGAACTAACGATTGGTATATAGATGTAAGCATTTTTATACAAAAAAGTGTGCCCGCTGGTAATTCTATAATTGTGAAGTTGGCGTACCCACTTTGTATGCCTCGTAACTTTTTTATTTTTTGAGAACTAACGTTAATATTGGAGAACTATCGAGAACTAACGAAGAACTAACGATTGGTATATAGATGTAAGCATTTTTATTCAAAAAAGTGTGCCCGCTGGAAATTCCATAATTGTGAAGTTGGCGTACCCACTTTGTATGCCTCGTAACTTATTTATTTTTTGAGAACTAACGTTAATATTGGAGAACTATCGAGAACTAACGAAGAACTAACGATTGGTATATAAATGTAAGCATTTTTATTCAAAAAAGTGTGCCCGCTGCAAATTCTATAATTGTGAAGTTGGCGTACCCACTTTGTATGCCTCGTAACTTTTTTATTTTTTGAGAACTAACGTTAATATTGGAGAACTATCGAGAACTAACGAAGAACTAACGATTGGTATATAGATGTAAGCATTTTTATTCAAAAAAGTGTGCCCGCTGGAAATTCTATAATTGTGAAGTTGGCGTACCCACTTTGTATTCCTCGTGACTTTTTTATTTTTTGAGAACTAACGTTAATATTGGAGAACTATCGAGAACTAACGAAGAACTAACGATTGATATATAGATGTAAACATTTCTCATCAGGAAACGGCGTGCGCTAGAACCCGGAAGTGTGAAGTTAGCGTACCCACTTATTATCGGCTATAACTTTTTTATTTTTTGAGAACTAACGACAAAATTTGGGAACTATCGAGAACTAACGATGAACTAACGATTGGAATGATCAAAAGTGGATACGCTAATATGGGTACGCCAACTTCACGGACCTCTCCGCGTGCCCCTCTAGTGTTCTGCTAAAGCTGGCTTCACCGCAACATGTGTATTCCTATTCGCGTGCCCTCTCCTTAATGTTTAATCCTCCTAGAGACACACAGACACAGACATCACTTTGAAAACACTTTTTTGGGTCCAAGGGGACCCAAAACGGATATATCCACTCAAAACTCATGCTCGAAAATTTTGACGAAAACAATAGACTACTTTCTCCATATACTATGGTATAGGGGGAGAAAGTAAAAAGAAAACCTCGTCATTGCCTTCCCTATCAGCAAACCCAAGTAAGTACTCATTAAAATTGATGTAATTTAAATAGGAAATAAATCTGACGATTAAGGTATTTTTTGGGGAATCTAGTCAGATAAAATAATGGAAATTCGCTTAGTTTACAGGTTTGCCATGGTTTCATATATATGATGTTTTTTAGAAAATATTAGCTCTCTGAGAACCTGTAGTAGCCTCTATGGCCGGGTCACTGAGCTATAATTCTAACGCTAGAAAAAAAATACACAATCGCATCGCAATCGCAATCAGCCAACACAAAATGTCAAAAACAGTCAACAAACAAACGAAACGAACAAACCAGCAGGAGGAGAGAAGAGAAGAACTCTTTCTCCGTTTGAGTTTTGTTTTGAAAAAAAAAACTGTAATGGTGGACTTAGTTAATTGTTGAAAGTGCATCACGGTTTTCATCTATTTTCTTTCATTATCATTACAGACATATCTACATGAACATAGAAAATAAGTCATTGTGCAAGTTTTGACTATTGAAATCCAAGGTAAATGATTTGAAGTTAGGGCCATAAAACGTTTATGCAGAGATTGTTATAATTTATAACCTCATTAACTTCAGTGTTGGTTAAAGTAAGTTTAAGACCTGTGGCAAAAGGAACTTAATGTGATTTTTTTCACTAGGCTATTAACATATTAGTTATTGAATTTTATCAAGCACTTGGAAACCCTATTTAACTTAAAAAAAGTTAGCCTATAAACAATCTGCACTAGGCTAGACCAAGGCCCTGCCTCTTAGTAGGCCAATTATTGTGTTAAACCGGGTTTTCTTAGGCGCGGAAGTGGAGAGCGGAGAGAGGAACGCGGAGAGCGGACTCCACTTGTCTTAGGTAATTTAATGTTACTGTTTTCCTAGAAGCGGAGCGGAACACCATGTTAATTTCTTTTCGCTCTCCGCGTTCCTCTCTCCGCTTCCGCGCCTAGGAAAACCCAGCTTTATACAGTCAAACCTCAGTAAACTAAAGGACAAAGGGTTAAACGTGTGTCTCAATCCGGGTATATGCTCATTGTTCACTAGGCTAGGCTACTTCACTGGTGATTCACCAGTTTATTTTGATTCTACAGTGTTTCATGCAAATTGGTCAATGTTTATCTTAGGCCTAAGTACTGGTACCCATTTTATTAGTGTTTAGGCCTACAGTAGGCCTACTTATTCTTTGCAATAATAGGTTACGACTGATGAAAATTACTTGTTGCTATTGGGATCCCTTCTGAGGGTAGTGTTAACTTAGTCGAACAGCAGTAAGTTAATAAAGAAAACGACCACCTCACCGATAAGTTTAAATTAAGAACAATATGACAAATAATGGTTAAACATATCTCGTCAGACAATCATTAACATGTAGTGTTGAAATTGCTACATATGGTTCGGCGGTTAACTTATTTAAATATCTCCGCCATCGTCAGGCAAAGAAAAGGATCCACTTGATGTGTTGTCAGAATAAATAAATAAAACACACATTATTTACTTAACATCACCGATAATGATAGGCCTATCAACTACACACACTGCCGTTGACATGGCAGGAAGCAGACTGAATGTTATGTTGTGATGTGACTTGACTCTGGGCTGTTGTCTGCGTTATCAACCGCTGATATTGGTCTATTGTAGTGACGGAAGAGAGTATTGAAAATATAATGAGACTTGAGTTTTTCTTTCAGAATTTGTGTGCTGTCCTTGGTTTTTATGTCTTTAAGTATATATATTTTGAATTCCAGAGTATTTAATAAATTTCCTTCCCCGCATTAATGAAGGATATCAAGACCATACTTTATATCTAGCATACCGGTAGGCTATCATGTTTATTGTCGATGATGTGTTTAGATTTCTGCATTTTGAGTTTAGGGGCTTAGGGGAGTTTAGGGGTTGTGGTCGGTGTTCTTTATACCTGGTTTTAAAAGGCCTCCCACTTTGTCATACATAGGTGGTTTTAATAATTTTTAATGGTCCTTTCATCCCAGTTGAGTTAATAGCTTAGGCTATGCTAAGTTACCTAACTTATTATTTCTTTTTGATCATAGCCTATAAGTTAAGTTAGGCCTATGAAGTTTCTAAATTCTTTTTTTTATAATATTTGTTTAAACATTTTTATGAAACCTCTAAACATGCTTACAACAATGTATTATGCTAAATAAGGTAAATCTTTCTAGACCTCTAGGGCCTACTAGTTTACTTTTCCCTTTTACTAAGTTCTTAGGTAGGTTTTGTCTCAGAAACTGACGTGGAATAACTTAATACTACAGTAAACCAATTGCAAGTGTTGAATAGTTCCTAACTTGTAAATCACTGACTTTAAAACAGAAAACTGGTCCTAGACTGTGAGATTTGACTACCCTACCGGTAGCCAGAATCTGATCCGGTAGGCTATCTGATAGCCTAGACTGTTAAAGATCAACTGATCTTGGAAACTTTGCGTTGTTTGTCAGAAGATTAACTGAGGCTACTATTCTAGAATTAGCTTACCAAAGTTGTATTTTCAGGATTGGTCAATAAACATAAACATGGAAAAAACAAAGGAATGGGAGCTTGAAATGCTGATGGAGAAATTAAGAGCAAAGACTGGACAGTTTAAGTCATTCTTTGAAAATGCCAAGGCTCTTCGTATGGCTTTGTTGGTAAGGTTACTCAAAACATGTGTAATAAGTTAAGGCCTAATCTATGTTTTGAATATTTATTTGAATTGATTATGAACTATAGTCCTCGCCACCCTAAGTTGAGGCAGCCAAAGGCTGCACTAGGTATACGCTGTGCGGCCTTGGGCTGCCTCAACTTAGGGTGGCGAGGACTATAGCTGAATGTGGTGGAATTGCTAGTAGCTTATCAGAGTTGTCTTTGTGGTCCACTACAACAATTTGCAATGTCACTGTTATTCCACATGTGTCTAACCTAACCCTACTAAACCTTATCGATGTCCCAATTAAAATATGCAAGGATGTGAAAACAAAACCAATTTCATTTGCAAATTTGTTTGTAGAACCTGTCTGTTTAACTCATTAGTAAATTGTGACTGTCTTGGTTAATCACATTCCTGAATTAAAAATTATTGTAAACATTTTAGCGAATTTCCCTATAGGGAAGTAGCTATTACCGTAGGTGGCACGGTAAGACCTAGACCCGGGACCGATTTACTTTTTCATTTTGATGTCCCCAGAGGCCAAAAACACCATTCGTTCAAATTTTTATATATGTATATATATATATATATATATACTTATATATATATATATATATATATACGTCCGTAAACGCGATAACTTGAGTAATTTTTGTCCGATTTTGATGAAATTTGGTTTAAAGGTGTAAAGCGGGATAAACTTGAATGAGTTCGCGAACCAGCACGATCGGACCATGGGAACGGGGCTTTACGGGGGGTTTTATGGGGTAAAAATTGGTTTTTCTCACTTTTGACCCTCAAAAACACAAAATTTCCCGATTTCTCTTAAGACCTTTTTAAAGAGCTTAAAAAAACAAATAATTTATTTTATAAAAGTATTTTTCTTTGATTATTAGTAACGGAGAAAATTAAAAAAATTGTAAATTTAAAATTCCCATGTTATTCTTATGGAGAATATTGTCAAATGTTGTAGTTTGCTTGTTTATGGATATATTTTGATCAAACTTGGCAAATTTATTTATTTTGTACTAAGCTATCAATATTTTACTCAAAAACACACTTTATTAGTTTCCTTGTAGCAGCAAACCTTTGTTCTCGTTAAACCTAATGTTATTAAAATATATTTAACTGAAAATCAATTCAGACAAATGGAAATTCGCTTAGTCGGCAGGTTTGCTGCGGCGGGGGTATTATATAATTAAAACTTTGAACTTTATTATGGTACGGTAGTAAAGATCATTGTTTGTTTTGTAACAGGAAAAGCGATACCCTGTTGACAGTGTGGAGAGGGTCCAGCTGCACAAGTGTTTGGACACGCTCCAAAACAATATCAAAGTGACGACTGTACAAGCAATGGTCGAGCGACTTGAGAGCGTTTCACGACAATTAGGGTAATTCACTCATCTACTTTCATGGTTAACTTTTTGACAAGGTGTTTGCATTGTTGTAATTTTAATCATACAGTTTTTGTCTAGGCTAAACATTAGTTTTACATAGTCGTCAGTGGATTGTAGCTTTGACTAAGGACAGAAGTAGATGTTTCATTGCCTTTAAGGTTGTCGCCAGTTGAGAATCAAACGTAAATTAATTGAGCCTTTGAGAGTGTGATGTTGGAAATTACACTAATTTATGTTGTTAACGCCAAATTTTAACCAAGCCCATCTGAAAGAACATTACTTTTCCTAGCATTAATTTTTACTTTCAATCTAGTTCCCAATCATCAAATTTGTGGTATAGTAAATATACATACCTATATACGCTATCATAAATATTTCAATGTAATGGTTGGTAATTCATGTTAGAAAAATTATAACCATCCAAATCAAATGTACTTTATAAAGAACATTTTGTGTAAATAAAATATGTCTATGTCTGTTGCGTAGGTTGAAGTTTGTCGCAGGACACTCAGGGTTGGACTTCTTCATCTCCAGTGACATGTTCTACCTGGAGCTGGTGTTGGAGCCGTCGGGTGGAGTGAGGGACGTCAAGGTGCATCACGAAGGCAAAGTGGAACAGCCGCAGGTCAGTTAGTCCCTCTAAGTAGCATCGGCTTGGAAAATATAGTAAAGTCCGATTGACCTAAACCGGCTGCGATGAGTTGTCTAAATAAAAAAATACCCCATTGTAAACATGTAAGAAATCATAAAGTTTCTTTGTTCTATTTCATGCTTTAAGTTGATCTTTCACTTCAACTACTAACTTTTCTATTTTTCCCTGTTCCATCTCAATCATTCCTTTATTGCCTGCCAAACTTATTTTTACATGCATAGCTTGCGTAACATTTTACAAATAAAATACATACTAAGCAATGACACAAATGTACACTAATACAGATAACCTCAGACCTAAACTACATGTTTACGAGATCTTGTGGTTCACATAATATTTTAGGCCCTATACTATAAAAATGATTTTCTACTAGGAATAATTTATGTTTCTGTTTTAATTCCCTAATACCACTTACTGACTTTAACTTTTTTGGGCAGTGAGTTAAACAGTATGGTGACATCATTATAAAAGACGTGGTTTTTTAAAGAGGAGGTTTTATGGTATGGAATTATCTATTTCCATTTTTGTCTGATGTTTTAGGATTGGAGAATCTAAGGTTAACAAAAAATAAAAAAAATCAGAATTTCCCTACAGAATTCAAACATCATTAGGCCTATGTTTAATGAGTACTTTGGTTTGTTTCTACAAGGAATGTTATAAAGTGTGTTTTTGTAAAAAAAAAAAAAAAAAAATGTTAATAACTCTTTATTAAATAAATAAATTTACCCAATTCAAGCAAAGTAAGTAATGTTTATTCTCATGTTAATAGAGCTGTGAAGAGTTGGTCGCTTGCCTCAGTAGACGAGACTTCTCCGACTTCACGTCCCAGTTGGAGGGTCTAGCTTCAATTTACCAGCTCAACGCAGAGAAAAAGGTTGGCCATGAACTATAGTGAAACCAAACTACTTGCAAAAACTCAATAGTAACCACATTTGCTCCAGTTAATTTAACTTTGTAATTTATTGTGTAGTAATGGGTAAACACAGAAATCATGGTTCTCAAGTTTGAATCCAAATTCTGAAATATTTATTTCCGAATCTTGAATCTTGTTTATGATTTTGAATGCAAGTAGGGCCTACAGTTGTTAAAAATAACATAAAGGTTTTAGAACAACTTACTGTTGAGATTGATTCTCACTGTTTACTTTATTTTGAATCAGTTCTGAAAAACGTATAATTGGTAGGCCCTACTAATAATTTAAAAAACATAATTTCAGCTCTGTCTTTCATCTTTCAAATTACTTAAATCCCAACTAATGGATAAAAGTCTGAGTTTCCCCTTTAAATTTATAATTATTTCTACTTGAAAATTTCTATTACGATTGCATTTTATTCACTGCCTTGGAAATATAAGATACGAGATTCAAATCTCAAAACTAGCCAATCAAATCTCATGTTAAAATTTCTTGAAATTCGTTGGTTTTGAGATTCAGGTTCCATACATCACTTTTCTAAAATGAACTATATTTTAGCCATTTTCTCCGAGTGAACTTTTGTCTAAACAATTCATATGTCTTCACCTCACCATTGTCAATCGAGTGATTTAGTTGTGTTGTTTGTCGATAGGTGAAGTGTAAGGCGTACTCTGCGCTGACATCGTTGGAGACCGACCTTTACACGTTGTCCTCTTTACATCCCTACAGCAAGGACCCCCAAGCTCAGGTTCACAAGGGCCCGGTCGGCATTTTACACAAGCGCAGAGGAGGTATGTTACAAACATAGATAGGACTCGTAGATATCAGGAGGACGTTGTCTGGTAGTTTTACATAAATGTAGTCTTAGTCACGATAGCACTGCCTACTTGAACTATAGCCAAGTAGGTACGAAAGCCTAGATAGTAGCCAAGCCTAGGAAGCCCCTAGGTACTAAAACTAAAGCCTTTCTTGCACTGTTTGTGTCTGTTTACAGGTCACTGTATGAAGCTAGTGTACTTTGTACATCCGTACGACATGTTGGACCCAGTCAACAGAGTAGCTAAACCACTAGACCCGGCCACGCACACTGATGGCCACAACGTCACTGTGTGTATGGAGGGATCCTCTGCTCACAAGCTGCAGACCACAACTCTAGTCTCGCCAGGACTAAGGTTTGAGCATAGCAAATTAGATAAACTGTAGTTGAAATATTTATTAGGCTATTAAGATTTTTTAAAACAACATACTACTTTGTGGAAGGTTTTCTAACAAGGCTTGAAAATTCAATTTTTTAAATCAGGTTTTTCATGAATCGGGGCTTTTCTTTATTCAGGGTGCCCATTACACCATGGATCCCTGATATTGTCCGTAAATTTTGTTGATTAGGAAGTTTCTTGAAATGTACTGAAATTTTTACTGGAACAAGAATTCTTTTGTAATCATGAATAGCATTTGGTCTGGTCATTAATGGAGACTCTTTGGGTCTCTTTTTATGTCATTGTCTGTATTAAGAATATGGCTATAGCAGGATGGGTGTTGCAACGATTGTGGGTTAAGACCATGCTGTGATTCTGGTGAAAACAGTTAACAAAATCAATTTCTAGTTTTAAATCATAATAAGTTACATTTTTAAACATAAAATATTGGAATTTTAAACTAGGAACACCTGGAATCTTGCTTGAATTAATAAAAACACACCCTTAATTAAATTGAAAACAATTTACAGTTTTATGAATTTGTAAGGATGGTTGTGATCAATCTCTTGTGTATAATTTTACAAAGTTTATGATGCTCAATTACCTTGATTGCCCTTGGATCAATAAAATAGTTATAGTGTGACTCGTTGTTGGAACCCTCATCAGCCCACACACTGCCAACTTACTTACACTTTTGCTTTACTTGAAAGTTTACTGTACTACAATCCGTGTTTGTTCAGAGGCGTGCCGGTGTATGCGCCATTGACCAGTGCCAACAGCGCCAGTCTGCCAGCGTGTTTTGTCCTGCGGCTACGTGAGCCGGTGCCTGTGTGCGTGGCCGTGACACGGCGCATCACGCAGGTCACAGACATGGAGTGTGGTGATCTGTCCAGTCCGGTGCCTCTACTCACACTCATCACGCAACATGTGAGCAAGGGCAAGCTGGACACCCGCGGCTTGCTTGTGGTATGTGTACTTTCTTTTATTACTACAATTAAAATGCTATACAAAATAATAATTAGTTAGTCTAGTCGTGCAGTTGCCAGCTTGACATATTTCACTAAGACAATGTTGTTTGTGAAGTCTGTTTTAAATTTTGAACTTTCAAGTTTAACTTTGTTGTGATTCAGTTCAATTATTTTGTTTAGCTGAGGATTGGCAAGGTTTTGTTGTATTGTGTACTCATGTTTTGTTATTGCTTGTTTTGTTTTTGTATGATCGGCTTTGAGGTCCGTGTTCATGGGTTGATACAAAATATGAATACCCACTGCAATCTCGCTTGATATAAAAATAACTTCAGCTGATTTCTAGTGTTGCATTTATTAGTTTACAGTGGGGTTTGGTTAATAATACAAACATAATGTAGGCCTAATTTGTTTCGAAAGTTGTTTGGTAAAGTTCAGATTTTGTACAGTCCAATATTCAATGTTCTTCCTTTGGCATCTAAAGAACTATAGAAATTGAGTCACAGCCTCATAGAAGATATTAAATATATGGGTAAAAAAGTTATCAGTCCTTAATTGGATCTCCAGTGGGAAACCATCAGCCTTGCTTGAACTCTGTTTTACATACTATCCTCTGGTTGGTTGCAGAATCTGCCTGACCAGCAGCACCGCTACTTCATGACGGACAGTCCTGGACTGGAGGCAGTGTTGGTGAGGTCGGTGCCGTTCACTCTACCCCAGCATGTACCTGCAATACTGAACCTGCTGCGACAACAGGCACTGTTCAACTCAGTGGTGGCCTCCTGCATAAGGCCCAACTCTAAACTCGGTACTCTCCCACTTCTCTAAACTAGTCTGAAACATTAGAGTGAATGAAAAATTGATACTTACAATCGAACCTTGTGTGTAAAGTTGGTAAATTATGCATTACAAATTTAGCTGGCTTAACTAGAAACCGTGATCAGAAAAAATGAGACTCCTATCACCACACAAATTGAATTATAGTTAAACATCAAACAATGTCTCGTTTAGTACAGCATCGACTCATCGAGTTTACCTGATTAATAAGTGTCATATTATTTAAGTGTTTTACTATCTCTTCAAAGACGGGCTTAAAAAGCATATAAGTAAACCTAGAGACATAGATGTTCCTTGGTTTGCTAGCCAACTTTGTAGGCTGTGCAGAAAACACCGGTGACCTCTTGGCCCCTTCTTGGCCGAGACGTTTGGAGTATAGAAGTGTGGCCAGACTGAGGGGGCTATGTCTGATTATGTTACTGCCGTTGGTGGGGGCCTTTGAACGTGACACATGTTAAAAAAGAAAAGCCACTTGTCTCAACATTTAGCGAGGTGTCACACACTGCCTGCTCTGTGTGGTTCATCTCCTATACTCCACACATCTTAATCTTAAGCGCCACAATCAAGTTATATTTCAATTACAATGTGACTTGTTGTCTACGCAGGTGAACAAGACAAGACAGTGATGCTGGAGGTGTCTGCGTTGTCATGGCAAAGACTTAGTGTGTCCCTAGAACATCCTCTAGAGGAGAGCATGGCCACTGTGGAGATGGATCTGTCCGACATCAGCAATCCCTCGTGTAAGATATACACAGCCAACGGCGACACCAGCTCTGACTACGCGACCAAAGTCTTTCAGAGGTTAGTCAAGTGCTGTGCAAAGAACTGAGAAACTTTTTAAAACTATTGGTAAGTCAGAAATACATTTGTTTCAACCATTCTCTATTTTTACAGGTGTCTGTCCATTCCAGTGACAATGAGAGCCCTTATCAAGTGTTGGCAGCGAGATGGGTCTGTAAAAGAGGCAAGTGACACCCCCACTCCTGGGGGGATGGGAGGACTGCCAGGGGGAGGGGTGGGGGGAGATCCTGACATAATCATCAAGCAGGAGCCTGGTTCCAATTTGGATTCTCCGTTTGAACCGTTCTCAGGGTCAGACGGGGGTCCTGGAGGTCTACAACTGGCAGACGACAAGACCAGTCTTCTAAACCTGCTGAGTGACAACAAGCAAGGCAAAAAACGCAAGCGAGGTGACTCAAAGAAGAAATCTTTGGAGGATTGTGATATCATCGTTGACAGTTCCAGTGATGAATCGGTTCTTTCTAAGGATTTGGATTTTGATTTGGACCTCATTGATAAGAAAAAATCGCCACCTTCTTTATTATTAGATTTAGAAAATAAAAATCTAGTTCCACCATCTGTTAGTATAACGCCGATTACTTGTAGTTCGTTGATATCACCCTCACAAAATTTAAACTCAGTGTTGGAACGTAGACCGGGAATAGAAATCATCCCTTTAGTGCAGACTTCGCTTCCCAGTTCCATTACAATAACACCTATCGGGAGCAAAGAGGACAAGAGTAGGAAGAGTGGCAAGAGTTCGAAAAGTGACGATAAATCCAGGACGGAGAAGAAAAGAAAGAGAAGGAAAGAGGATTCAGGAATGGGTCCTCCTGAAAAAGTTCCTGCGAAACAAGACCCTTTAACAAAACCTGTAACGGTTTCTATCAAACCGACTGATTGTGAAAGCCGTCCCCAGTCCCCAAACTCCAGTATTCGCAAATACAGCAGCTCACCCACGCCGTTATCTTTAGTCAGCAGCAAAGGCAGCCCTAAATCAGTGAAGAACAGTCCAAAACACTCTCCAAGTCCTGCATATTCAGTATCTAGTCCCAAAAGTAGCCCTAAACACGGAACATCATCGCCCAAACATCAGGGAAGTTCAGGAAAACCGAGTATGTCTGCTTTAAAGTCAGCTGTTAGTTCTCCAAAGTCAGATTCAGGAAAAAAGTCCTCCGGTAGCAAAGATTCGAGTAGAGATAAAGAAAGAAAGTCTGGAAGTGCTGGACACCAGAGTCCAAAACTTAAATCGTCCAGTGTGAAATTAAAACAGTTGGATCTTTCCAGTGGAGAGATTACTGTAACAGCTCACAGTGGGGGATCGACTCCTCCTTCAGGTGAGAAGGCTCAGCCGATGATGCGTAACAGAAAAGGTTCTCTGTCTGCAATTGTAGACAAGCTGAAATCTGCTCAGCACTGTGGTGATCCGTTTGTAGAGGGAAATGGTAAACCTAGTAGTAACAAAGATAGGAGTTCTACAACCATCAGCAAAACCGGCGATAAAAGCAATGCCAGTGGTGCAAAACCTGGAGAAAGCAAAAATCCTGGAGAGTACATGGTGAAACCTAGTTCTGATGGGATGAAAATCACCATCAACAAAACAAGGACCAAAGATCCCAATAAATCGGGAAAACAGAGTTCTAGTTCTGGTGGAGGAAGTAGTTCAGGAAGTGGGTCTCCAAAAACACACACTGGTCTCAAACCAGGTGTTAACAGTGGTCCTGCTTCGAAGAAACCACAAGCACCTCCTGGAAAAACATCAACGAAACCTAGTAGTAAAGTCCCTGGAGTTTCCAAAAGTTCAACAAGTGGTACAAAACCGGTAAAGTCAAGTAGTAGTAGTAGTAGCAGTAGCAGTAGAGATAGTAGGGTGCGGATACCGAAACCTGGTGATAAGTCAATATTCAGTTCTTCTAAGAGTGATGCAAGAAAACTGAGTCCAAGTGGCTCAAGGGACGAGTCGGAAACATTTAAAATCCTAAACACTGCTCCAACGATATCCCCTGAACTTGTGGTTCCGGGATTCATGAAACAATTGGACACTAAATTTCAAATTCCTAAGCTTTCCCAGAGGACTGCAAACGTTGATGATATCAAGAAAGATAAATTCGATGGAACTAAACCTGTCGACCAAAATAAGTTCATCGATCTGTCGATGAAGTCTGACTCAAAATATCCCTTGATTCCAAAACTTGATGACCTGATAGTGGATGCTAAACAGCTTTCGTCTCCTACCCCGAGTGTAAAATCTCTGGAAATAGACATATCCGATGAAAGCCCTTTAGACACCTCCGTATCCTCGGGGAAAGATGATATCATGAGCAGTTTGAAAATAGAACTTCCGATCGGATCTATGTCTTTTGCGTCCGATGAACCTTCACCAGAAGTGTCCGAGCCTATTCGTCCCCCTGATCCACCAAAAACTACCCCCACTCCCCAAGAAGCAGCAGAAATTCTTCTGGACTTTTCCACTCTTCCAACCAAATCTATTCTTCCTGATAAGTTGATGTCGGTTACTGAAAGAGCGATGGCTTCTATGATGCCTCTTCGCAAGAACCCCACACCTCCATTGCCCCCACCGGTGTTCCCCGCGTCTCCGTCAGTTTCTGTTCACATTGTCAAGTCCCCCGCCCCTTCCCCTCTAGTCATCCCCTCCCCCCATTCTGCTTCTCCTTGCATTACAGACGATGAACTGATGGACGAAGCATTAGTCGGTATAGGCAAATAGCAACTAGGAGTCCATAGTCTTATCTATGTATAGTTCCAAAATAGTCTTATTATCTTTTATATACTTTTTATCATGAAGTATTTGCGATATATCATATATAGCCAGTCAGTAATATACATACTTATGTACAGTATTATAGACTTTTAGGAAATGAGATTATATAGATTTTATAATATATTGTATTATTTGTTAATATCGATCGTTCGATGCATTATTACAAGGTTGTTATGGTTTTAGTATTTTGTTACATTTTTTAATTATTTAATTTCTAGATTAAAGTTAGGGAAATATTTCTTGCCATAATAATGTATATAGTTTTTGGTTGACATGTTTATTTTTAAATTTTTAGCTTGCATTCTGGGAGAGGCATTATTTTACTTAAGTCATGTAAATAGGTTTTAAAAACCATTGTATTATAATATACTTCTTCCAGTTATTAACTATACATCATCTCTTTACAAGATTAAAATATTAGATATATATATATAAAATTATAAAGATACAACTACTGTATTTTGCCTTTTACGATCAAGAAAGTTAATTTGAATTGAATGTCATGTTTATTTTGGGTAGCAATGTATCCCAATCAGTTAGGAGTTTTATCACTATGTTTGGTATTATTTGAATTAGTATCAGGTTGCTGATATTTCTGTGACTGTTGTTTTGATCCATATAAGTGAAGGTTTTAGTATTTTTTCCATTTTAATCCTCATTTACATGGGTTTAGGGTTTAGGCTCATGTGAGGAATGCATCTAAGCTGGCAGTTTGAGAGGTTCACTTTTGACAAACGTCCGAAAACAGGGTGGCCACAGATTGGGAAATATGTACAAAATTCTTGTATCTGGGAATTATGTAAAAAGTTTAGAAAATTTCATTGGGAATGTCTGAATTAAGACTGCGATCACGGCGAAATTACATCTTTTGTATGAACATCTTCCATGATTACAAAAAAATCGAGAACATCTTCAGAGGTTACAGAAAAATCGTATACATCTTCCGAGATAACATTGACATCATCTTCTCCCACAACCACGACAAAACCGTTAATTTTTCATCAATGACCAACCATTGAGATCTGGCGCCATCTAGGTGCATGTTTACCCAAATATGAGTGTAGAATGGTGTGAGATAGTGGTGTATCTTTTGTTACTGACTAAAATAAGCTGTTTCATTAGCCAGGATGTTTATATTAAAGCCCAATAACCAGGGACGGCTGGGTCCAGTTTCGAACCATCAACGCACTATTGACTTCTCTCAGGATCAAACCGGTGACCTTTTGATTGTTAGGTGAGTGCTATAACCGCCCGACTACACAGCCATTGCGCATCTTTGCTAGAACTCTCCGCGGCCAAGAAAATATGCACTCGGTTCGACTTTACATGCCCAAGCTTGGCCCGATGATCAATTTCGGCCCGTAACAATATCTTGGGCCAACTTTCATGGAACCCTCATATTCTTAGTTAAATGTACACTTGGCGACTAGAAATCGTCACCGGTAAAACCAGGTTTTGCTGCTCAGAAAACGGGTAAAAATTTGTTAATGTTTCTCTAGGAGTTCTGTGGTCACCCTTGAAAATGTTCAGTCTAAAAATAAAAATATGGTAGCTGTTTGTGATCTGGTACTGTTTTATTTTTGCTAAATGCTACACTATTAACTCAAAAGTATGTTAAGATTTTATTGGAAAAAGCAAAAAGCTAAACTGTCTTTAATGAAAAGTTTTAGTTATTTTATTCATGCGTATCACATGTTACTGAGGCTTTTGTGAAATTCGTCGACAATCGTAGTTTGATGTATTTTCATGTCATAAGCAATATACTTTGTGCAATTAATTGTAGCAGAAGATAAACGACTGAAGTAGGCCGGATTGAAATTTGTCTGATAGAAAGTGTTGGTAACATAATATTTAATTATCTTTTACTACATCAATGGGTATATAGATCTACTTAATACAATAAAGGATAAAGGTTTTTTCCGTATCATCCCTTTTTCATCCGTCTTACCCGTATTTTTACGACCAAGGTGTTATTTTAAAGCTCATGATCTAGCGGTAGCAAGCGGACAAACTAATGGCAAGTAAAAGGGTAATTTCAATTAGGGCTTGGCCCCCTAGCCTTTAATTTATTCCTAGAGGTGCTTTCAAGAGTTAAGTGCTGCTGAACATCTTCCTTTGTATCAGTTTTAAATGTGAATTGTAATCCTTTTGAAGGTCTTCAGTTGAATTTTTCACTACAGTCATATTGTAAAATCAGATAACTGTTTGGCATTTTTATAACTTGGAAGAGTGGTGAGGAAAGTAAATAATTCATTATGTAGTCATGCAATTGATAACCATCTAATATTGTTAATTATTTAGTGATTCATTTAATGACAAAAAACATTTTATCTGTACAAAGTGATGTTTTTCTTGATGTTAATTTTTGATTACTTAGTAATCTTTAACATGTAATTGAGTATTGAAATATTCGTTTTGTTTTGGAGGAGTTTCTAACCTTATTAAAAATATGAAACTTGTGCATGGGCACCATCGTTTCAGTATTATTGCCTTAAGTATCCCTCAGGAATATCCAATTCATTACCAAAATACTGACACTATTTTTGTATAGACTACAAAAAACATCTAATACTTAAAAAGTACTACCAACTACTGTTAAAATAAGCATTTGAATATGTTAGATTGATTATCTTGCAAGTGAAAAACAAACATACAAACATGAAAAGACAATTTTTTTGTTTGTTTTCTACACAAGTGAAATTTTTCTATGAAGGAACCGCAAACACATTTGCCATGAAAATTTGTTGATATCAAATGTTATTTGCACGAGCAGAAGACAGCTTAGCAACATTACTGCCTGCTCTGGGTGCTAACCCTACTCTTGACAAAAATTGTTTCTTCATGCAGTCCAAACTGTTCCTTGATATAAAACCTTGTCATACATTATAACTTTATTACAGACTTTTATTTTTGTCCAGATGTAAACTTGTTAAAAATTAAACCCATGATATTGCTAAGTGTAATTTTACAACAGCTGTGGCTGGTTTTTTCACTTGCAAGACAATTTTTCAATGCATTAGAACTTGTATGAAGAATCCAAACCTAGTAGGCAGTTGATTAGGTGTCCATAAAATATACACTGGTCCTGTGCTTAGAGAATATTTATTGTCGGAGTGCATCTTAAAAAAAATATATAATTGAAGTCAAGATAGATTAATTGTATCTTTTTAGATAGTCACATTACATTCAAATAGTGTTGATTTAATGTGATTCTAGTAATACGGGAATATTTAATGGTATTAATCCTTAATAATGTAGAAATAATTAAATTTAACAATTTGTTTATTAGCCTTAAAATTTGTACACTTTTGCTGTTGTAAATTTAAACTACAGGAGAGTTTGTAATTTAAAAAAAAAATAAGAGCTTTTAGTTCAGTTGTAAGTAGTTTTTGGAGTCTTAATAGTTGAGGTTGTTAAATTTTTTTTGTTAGAAATATCTTTTAAAATTGACAATATTGTTTTTAGCATAAAATCAATGATCATATTGTTGGCATACATTTTAATTAATTACCTTCAAGATAGATTTATTTGTACTTTTTTTATTTACCCACTTTTGTAAAAACCTGTATTCTAAATACTGTAATATATTCTTTTGCAGCCTATTTATAAAGTGTTTGAAAAGTCTAGAAAAACTTAATGTTAGTTGAGAAGAAATAATTATGATAATCGAGGTAACTTGGGGAATATTTTAATTCATTTAATTTGCTTATGGTTAAAAACATGTATCGACAAGATTGTATGTAAGAAAATAGAAGGGAGTGTGCAAAGATTTTTTTCTAAATCAACAGATTATTATTTTAAAATAACAATTTAATCCACATTATGTCTGCAGCTGAAAAAGTCTTAGTGCTCTCTAAGTAATCAAAAGGTCGCTGGTTCGATGTGGAGAAATTCTGTAGCTTTTTGGTTGTAAAATCTGGCCCAGCTGTTCTTATTCATTTGGCTTTAATGCATTGCCCTGGCTGTAGAAATAGCTGGTCAGTAACAAAGCAATTTGTAATAATTTTAAAACATTTTCAAAAGTTGGTCATAGCATGGATAATAATCTAGACTTTTCATACACACTTTAACATACTTAACAAACTGATATTTATTTCAGATTAAACGACTGAAGATGTTTTCAGATATAACAAAATAAAAATGTGTAAATAGTAAATATTTGACTGATTTTCTTAGGGACTTTGGTACAAACGTTGATGAAATATTTATTGAAGAATAAAATTATTACTATTCATTTTTTGTACTTATGTGTGAACCCTTTGCATTTTTCAATTACTTAAGGAAAATTGTTGGAGCAATATCGTTTTGCAAAAATAAATAATGGCCCAACCAATAAAAAATATACATTAAGTTATTTCATACTGTAGCAAAGGCTCCTAAAGTAATCCTAAACCAGCGCTGATTTTGTGGCAAGTATTTATCTTTGTCAATATTTCAAAAACTTTTTTCATGTTCTAGTTGTTTTTCTAGGCCACTTCATGCAAATCAAAATAAGAAGGTTACAATACCTGCAGACTGCCTTTAGTGGTCCTTAAATATCCAACAGGATTACGCGTTTCGGTATTTGTTATACCATCATCAGATCCATGGATCTGATACCATCATCAGATCCATGGATCTGATGATGGTATAACAAATACCGAAACGCGTAATCCTGTTGGATATTTAAGGACCACTAAAGGCAGTCTGCAGGTATTGTAACCTTCTTATTTTGATTTCAAAAACTGTTTTGTTGGAGATGAAAATGTGAAGTGCATACGTGTTGAAATCATAATTGCAGGATTATTATGGCCAGAGAACAGACCATGTGTCAATTACAGCAGAAATGATGCTGATGACAGCAACGTCAATAAGTGATGTGTGTGGCAAGACAGAACATGGCTATCAGTTTGATGTTACATTCAAATTAACAACCTTCATTTTTCATTGCAATATGTGCTGGCATCTATAAGCTTTAATCATTGAAAAAGTACAAGTCTAAAAAGGTGTTAGTTAGGGTATTAGTTTGTTAAATTACCTAATTTAAAATTTTTTTTTACTGCAGCAAAAACAGCTGTTTTTTAATGTATGTGTTATGGGTCTAAAGTAGCATTTTTACTCTCTAGGGAGTAAAAATACTTTTTAGTCTCTAGGGAGTAGTTGTAAATTTTGATTGTGGAAATCCTATAGATCAAAATTATTTTTCGATTGATTTATTATGTAAGGATTTAGCCTTATTGTTGAATAGCAGGATTGAAAACAAGCTTGAAGTCGTTTTGAGATGTTACTTTTTTACACAAACATTATTTCGTTTTCTAGCTTTGTTTTTTAATTAATGATGCAGTATGACGAAAAATATAGTTTACCTGGTTCACCACACGGGCAAAAAGTGACTTTTTAACCCTCGCTCATTTTCTGACCTTGGCTTAGTGATGAATAATGTACTATTGTATTTAACTATCATTGTGCTCTTTCTATGACATCTTATTAGTAAGAAAAATTCTATGGAATGGAAATATTCTAATGTAAGTTTGATTGGTAAATTAAATGGACAAAACTTTTTAAGTATTGTACCTGCGAGTAAGGAAAAATTTAGATACAGGATCGGGGTTGATCCTTATTTGGCCCATCAATTTTAAAAAGATGGCTCTTTTATTTGTTCTATTAGTAAAACATCTTCGTTTAATTTTCCTTCTAGCACAGTAAACTTTTTCGGAATAATTTCTAATAATTTATTTGTTAAATTAAAAGGTTCTGAAGCAGTCGAGTGTTGTCCAGAACAGGTGCGACGCATTATACAGTGTCTCGGCGTTATTGGTTTAGGCCTTGGTTTTAATTAAATAAGCAGAATAAATAACTGCCTCATCTGAATATCAGCTGTCTTGTGGACCCGAGCCGAAGCAGAATCAATTACACACTGCTGCTTCATTGCAATACTGCTCCGCGGATTATTAACTTGCTTTATATAAGAAAACTATTGTAATTCTTCTACACAGTTTACAAGGTGGATAAAATATAAATGCAATTTAATTTTTATGGTGTCTAAACTATTGGAGACATCAGATTTTTAGTGAATTTGCATCCCAATTTACTTTTTATTCAACTAGGAATAGTTACAAATTACCCGCCAAATTTCATACAGCTAGTAATCGTAAAAAAAACTAAAAAGTTTTACAAACTATTATGATTTTTTTGCATGATTATTATACTATACCAGTAACATAAATATTTTATTTTATTTTAATGTTTCGGAGCTTTTGATTTTTTTTTTATAATTAGTAGTATGTAGTACCGGCGCTAAAAGTAAATAGTTGTGATAGTTGTAGGGACTACTAACTGTCTACTCCTTTTATCTATGCTACTACCTATAAACACCTAAATAGATAGAAGTAAACATTAAACTATGAAAAATGGCAACAAAATAAAAAAAAATAATAAAAAATAACTGATATCTCAATATGAAAAGGTATTTCATATAATTGATAACATAACACTGTCAGAATCATAATAATAAAAACTAGTCATGTTGATCAAATTATAAAAATTGAATAAAAAGTGATAAAACTGGTTAAAACTGTAAAGGCTGGCCAGCACTCTTGTATCACTGTCACTGACTAAAAAAAAAGGTTTAAGGTTTTTTTT